TAGGTATATTTAGATCTAGACTACCCTTTTATAATAGTATATACTTATTATATCTCGCTCTCGCTAGTAGTATAAGTCGTTTAGAGTAAGTATAATAGAGAACGACGAGAAGAGCTAGATTACTCTCGTATTAAACTTAATTCGAGATTTCAAGTATTAAAAGATAAGATAACCCTTTTCGTCGTCTAAATACTACGACTCTATAGACGCGATTTTCTTAAATAGATCTATATTCTTAGGTATTCTAACGAAATAATCTATATTTAAATACTTATATATTCCTAGTAAAAATAATAACTATATTAGTCTATATTATAAATAGAGTTATATTTATCTACGTTTACGATATCCTTTATATAGAGTACTAACTTACTACTATAAATATATATAAATATATTTTCGTTAGATTTAGTATAGATAGAGCGGATATTACGTTTATCTTATAGAGAAGAGAGAAAATACTCTTCTCTCTAATTCCTAAATCGCCTTTTATATTCTACTTATATCTTATTATTTTATTATATATCGAGTAAATAAGCGGTATATCTTAGATAGATTTTATTTTTATCTATCTAGAGTATATACTTAGATATTTAATAAAGGTAAATATACTATTAATTCTTTTTCCGACTCTAGTTTTATATCGTTTTTTAAAAGTTTAAGAATACTAATATTAAGTTATAATATTTCTATTCTATTCTCTATTTTCTTTCCGCTTTTAAGTACTTAATAGCTAATTTCTAGCTCTTATTCTAGTATATATCTAATAAATTAATAATATAAATTATATCGATATCGAAATATAAGAATAACTTAGCTTAACTATATATAAAGCTTCGGAAATATTTCTATTTATTTTTAGTATTATATTTATAGAAGGCGAGATATTTATAGCTAGTATAGAATAAGCTTTTAAGCTAGGTTACTATCGCGAAGTCTATATCTATCGACTATAGTCTCTTAATATCTCTCGATAGCTTATCTTTTTCTACTAATCCGATAAAGAGACTAATTTATACTATTAATAATAAATAGACGCGTATACTCTTTTCTCTAGATATAAAGATCGTTACGTCTATAGTTATACTAGTATTTTAGAGAAACTTCTATTATTACTATATTAATATTATAAAGAGATAGTAGAAGAGCTACGTTATATTTTTAGTCTATAATCCCGCCTATCCGGTATAGTATATACTTATCTCTTAATACTATATTAAATATTAGAGCGAAAGAGAAAGTACTTAAAAGTAAAAGAAAGTATACTACTATATATACGACTTAAAGACGTCTATCTTATAGAATTACGAAGTAGAAATATTCTCTATATAATAGGATTCTTTTATACTATTCTTCGCTATACTACTATAGATACTAAAATTACTTAAGAGCTTTTATTATAAGAATATCTAGTTATAGTATAATCTCTATAACGATATTTTATTCGAGAGATATTCGCGGCCGAAGCTATACTCTATCTCGCTCTTATTATAATAGTCGTTTATTTTAGACTTTAATATAATCGAGATTATTTAATAGATCTTTATATCGTATATAATTTTATATTAAGTATATTTTCTTACTATCCGCCTTAAGATAGATAATTTTTATATTATTTATATTTCTATCGAAGAGTTAATATTTATAAAGCTTAAGATATTCCTTATAAGAATTAATCTTTACGAGAGAATCTCGTATTATACTACGTACTCTACTCGCGACTTTAATAGAAGCT